GTATTTTTAGTAGAGACGGGGTTTCACCATGTTGACCAGGATGGTCTCGATCTCTTGACCTCGTGATCCACCCGCCTCGGCCTCCCAAAGTGCTGGGATTACAGGCTTGAGCCACTGCACCCAGCCCTGTAGCAAATATTTTAAACAAGAGGTATTTTGTTATGTGATGCTTTTTTAACTGTAGCTAAAACACTTTTTAGCCATGGAAATTCTGAAAAGCTTGCCACTTCTTTTATTATACTTACTGGAAGATGATTACTTTTGTTGAAGGATAATATTTTCCCATCTTTTCCTTACCCTTTGGCCCCCAAAAGTGTTTCTGCTAATGATATAAGCAGATTTGTAATACTTTATCTGCTTTTAAGCTGTGCAAATTAATATTTGGATAATTCATAATTAGCTTGATTATGTCACTTGATAAAATAATGATGTGTATTCATGTTAGTTCAACCATATATTAATACTGCCTGGGAATAGGTAGCTATAATTGTGTGAGGAACATAATTTGGCAGTGTTCAATGGCTTGGAAAAACCTATTGCAGGAACTTAAACATCTACATGAACACTGATATCAAAAGAGCATGTAAGCCTGCCCATAACTTCTGATCCTAGACGGATCTGGCTGTGGTTTTCAGATCCCAGCCCGCAGGAAGCCCCTACAACCTCATCAGCTGAGTGGGCAGAACAATAACATCAGGCCTGCACATGCCCAGGATTGTGCCCAGCATGGCCAGCGACTGATAAAGACACCGGTACTTTCTATTTTTATTGCTATCACCACCATTGTAATCATTACTGAGAGATGTATCCATAGAGACATCAAGTCAGAGAAAAGCAGAGGAAACCAAAAGGCAACAATGAAACCAAAATTTAGAAAAAATAAAAATAAAAAGGTGATGGAACAGCCCAGAAAGCTGGAGACAGTGGCAGAAACCATTTCAGAGAATTAGCCGCAAAAGAAGTAGGGAACAGGCGAGAGAAGGAGACAGTTCTTTCCGGAGCTAACTCAGTGGACGCACCAGAGCCTGCGGGAGCATACATTTTTGCATCAGTTTCCTCAATGATAAACTGGAAGAAAAGTACATGGCAGAGAGAGTGACACTAGTCAATATTTGTAACAAGTCGGGCACACAAAAGAAGACACTTTTGTTCTCACCTCTCCCTTTTTAAATTAAGGAGCAACTGCCCTGAATACAATCTTGCACAAAACTAAATCCACCTAAACACAACATCACATTAACTACAAAAGCCTAGTGATCATTAAAAATTCTCCATTTGACCCAGCAATCCCATTACTGGGTATATATCCAAAGGATTACAAATTGTTCTACTACAAGGACACATGCACACGAATGTTCACTGCAGCACTGTTTACAATAGCAAAGACCTGGAACCAACCCAAATACCCATCGATAATAGACTGGACAGGGAAAATATGGCAAATATACACCATGGAATATTATGCAACCATCAAAAACGATGAGTTTGTGTCCTTTGTAGGGACATGGATGAACCTGGAAACCATCATTCTCAGCAAACTGACACAAGAACAGAAAATCAAATACTGCATTTTCTCACTCATAGGCAGGTGTTGAACAATGAGAACACATGGACACAGAGAGGGGAACATCACACTCTGGGGTCTGTTGGAGGGAAATAGGGGAGGGATAGTGGGGGGTGGGGAGTTGGGGAGAGATAGCATGGGGAGAAATGCCAGATATAGGTGATGGGGAGGAAGGCAGCAAATCACGCTGCCACGTGTGTACCTATGAAACAATCCTGCATGTTCTTCACATGTACCCCAAAACCTAGAATGCAATAAAAATAATAATAATAAAGAAAAAAAAATTCCTGGGAGTAACAGATGACCATTCACTAATTAATCGGGTTTAGGTAACTCAAGCTCCACTTAAAGAATCATTGCTCCTTAAAGGGGTAAATGCAATGATAGTCACTTGGGAAATTTCTAATTTGTCACTCCTCTGGGGAGACCAAAATGATACAATCTTAGTAGTAAATTTCTCCCTGAAGTTTCTGAGGGTGAACAATTTCCAGACTCCTCAGACAAAGGTAAGATGAGTCAGCTGGCATTACTGTCAATCAGTATGAAATACAGGCCACCTTTGTGTCTACAACTAACAGCCTTTGTTAAGCATCAGAGGTAGGACAGTGGTTTGTGGAGTGAAAACAAGGTGGGTGTCCACTGGGCCAGACACTGCACAGCACTGCCCGTGCAGGGAAATAGAACAGAGAATGAGCTGAACGGGAAGACGTCAACGCTAAACCTATACATGCAGAAACACACCAGTGCATACGAGCCACATACTCACTGTTTTCCCATTATGATGTTAAAACATGCTTTTCGTTTTCAAAGACATCAGAAAGTAAAAGGTGTCTCACACCTTCCAATCACATTTCCCAGAAATGTCTGTCAACAGGAAGTACATACCCTTCTCAGAATTTCTCCCATGTGTAGAGAAATATGCATATGCACGATATGGCTCCGTCTTGCATCTACAAAAATGGGCCAATTCTAAACAAATGGTGCTACAACTTATCTTTTCCAATGGATGGTGGACACCATTCCACACTGGTACGTATAAATCTATCTCATGGTTTGTATTTAGTTTTTATTTTAAAATAGTTTCACCTGCACAAAGTAAGAGTGTAAAAAACACAGAGAAGTTCCATTTAGCCTTGCAACTTCTCAATTCTGACACCTTATATACAGTACAATTATTTAGTTGTGTCAGGAAATTAACTTTAGTGCAATACTATTGCCTAATCTAGCAATTTAGTATACTATTGCTTTGTTGCCTTATCTAGAGACGGTATTCAAATTTCATCGATAACACTTTTTTCCAAAGCAGAATGCCGCCCGCAGTCATGCGTTGCATATATATTTGGCACGTCCCTTTGTCTCTTTTAATCTGGACTCACTCCTCAGTCTTTCTTTGTCTTTCAGTTTTTTTTTTCTTGTTTGAGATGGAGTCTTGCTCTGTAGCCCAGGCTGGAGTACAGCGGCATGATCTCAGTTCACTGCAACCTCCACCTCCCAGGTCCCAGTTCAAGCAATTCTCCTATCTCAGTCTCCCATCTCAGTCTCCCAAGTGAATTAGTCACTCAGGTTTCACCCTCAGAAACATAAAGTTCTGGCATTAGAGGGACAGAAGGACTGTTCTGACCAGTGCCTGGTCAGGAAGGTGAGTTTTGTCTAGCAGGATTGTGCCAGGGAACTGCCATGGGGTGAATGTTGGTGTCTCCACAAAACACATAGTTGAAATCCTAACACTCAAGGCGATGGTGTTTGGAGGTGGGGCTTTGGGAGGTGATCAGATCATGAATGTGGAATCCTCATGAATGGGATTATTGCCCTGATAAAAGAGACCCCAGAAAGCTCTCTCGCCCCATTCTCCATGTGAAGACGCAGTAAGAAGACGCTGAACCGGGAAGCTGGTCCTCGCCAGACACCAAATCTGACAGCACATTGATCTTGGACTTTCTGGTTTTGAGAAGTATGAGAAATAAATTTTCATTGTTTGTAAACCACCCAGTTTAGGTATTTTGTTACAGCAGCCCAGATGGACGAAGACAGGAATGAAGGGGAAAATCATGGACAGAGAATCACTTTTGTTCCACGAACCTTTCACACTGTGAGTGGCTCAAGGTGAACGGGGGAAAACAGAGTCCTGATCTGCTGGGGGCCAATGGCGAGTCTGAAAGCGTCACAGGAAGGGTGTCAGCCTCAGCCTTCTGGGGCCCTTGAGCAGCTGGGCACCGGTGCAGAGGAAACTCCCCAAGAAGCATTCAGCCCACATTTCCCCCCAGCTAGCCTCACTTCCCCCCTCAGCAATGCCCTGGTTTATTTTGACAAGATTGTTTCCATCCAGCACGGTCACATACCCTTGCAGACACCAGGGAGCCCTGCCCACTCTGGGAACCACTGCTCACTGTGGAAAACCCGAAGCATCACCTTTATGCACAGCAGGCTGGGAAACGGGGCTGCTATCGAGCCCCTCAGGAGCAGTCATGGCTGTGGGCAAGCAGCAAAATGGGGTGCAGACAGCAGGCAGAGCTTCCTGGCACAGACCTGCAGGTGGGTGGTCGGGGAAGGGGAGGGGAGCAGCAATGCCCTGTGCTTCCAAGTGATTAGCTTGGAAACCTGCTTCAAGCTGAACTGAGCAAAGGAGGCAAGGGTAGGAAATACAGAAATACACCTCGCAAGAGAAGAGGAAACATACCAGATGTTTTAACGGGTAGAATTTCAGATAAAAAACAAACCATGTATTGAAAATGGAAAAGGCGCCAACAGGACAATGTGGTCTGGGAGAAGCAGCAGCTGCATAAAGCAAGTACACCCCTGGCCGGGCGTGGTGGCTCGTGCCTATAATCCCAGCACTTTGGGAAGGCAAGGTGGGCAGATCACAAGGTCAGGAGTTTGAGACCAGCTTGGCCAACATAATGAAACCTGTCTCTACTAAAAATACAAAAAATTACCTGGGCGTGGTGATGGACACCTGTAATCCCAGCTACTCAGGAGGCTGAGGCAGGAGAATCGCTTGAACCTGGGAGGTGGACGTTGCAGTGAGCTGAGATTGCACCACTGCACACCAGCCCGGGCAACAGTACAAGACTCTATCTCCAAAAAAAAAAAAGCAAGTCCACCCCTTTGGGGATGGGATCTGGGGTGGAATCATCAGAACTGGAGGAGCGCGCAGAGCTCCAGGCTGGGCTGGCGTCTGTGGTAGTAGCACAATGCAGCTGGTTCCAAGTATGGGGATAAACAGAACCCTATGCACTAAAATCAACTACTGCTATTGGGACAAAGTACTGCTGCCAGGAAAGTATAGCTACAGTGACACTGTCAGACACAGGAGGCAAATGGGAAGGGGCCAGGCCTTCCGCCCTCCCCACCTGCCAGGTTTCCTTTGAACAACCAGGTCTGGCCACTCTGGGCCTGCAGAATTTCAAGGCCATGATCAGCGGACAAAGACTGGCCATCGTCCCCTTTATCCTGGGCATACATAGTAACGAGAGTCAAAATATTTCTCAACAGCTAGCTTGCCATGCACAAACCCTGGGCAACCAGTGAGGTGCCTGGCTCAGAGCAGGTGGGGCCTGAGCCTGGGGCCAGGCCAGTATGTTACATGAGTTCTCCTAGCTCCTGATCACTCCTGGTGCTTCCAGTTCTGCATCAAGCCCTCCTGACTGCCCAATAGGCCCACATCACTTATTTTTATTGCCTGCCTGGCCTCCGTAGACAACTGAGTTTGCGACACCTGGCTGAGAAGGAAGCGAGGTGGGAGATTCTACGTGATATGTCTTTCATCCCCATTCTGTATGCTTCATGTCCCAGGAAGGCAGGGACATCCCTGATAGGACTAGCCCAGGAGTTCTAGGAGCCGTGTGCAAAGGAAGAGGTTGTATGGAGCGGGAGTGGCATGGGAGGGGATGGGCAGCAGGAAACGCTGTCAGTAAGAGGACGGGAGAAGGGCAGGACAGTCCAGAAACCAGCAAGGCTACAGGAAGCCCGGGGCAGGGACATGTTCAAAGACCTGTGTGCACAACACGGTGTCCTGGTTTGCAAACATCTGGGCAGTACACATTTCCAAGTCTCTTTCTACAGGCATCTGACTCACGTTGATTTTGTTGAATGAGACCACATTGACCATAGGGAAAAGTCCAATGTTCTCAGCCCACTGCTTTTGCCCCATGGGAACTTTCCAACGTTTCCATTCATTACCTTCTTTTGCCAATCAATGTGGACAAAAAAAAAAAAAAAAAAAAAAAAAAAAAAAAAAAGAATAAAGTCTGTTAAAAGTGGATGGAGGCTGGCAGCAAGTGGCTCACACCTGTAATCCGAGCACTTTGGGAGACCGAAGTGGGTGGGTCATCTGAGGTCAGGAGGTTGAGACTAGCCTGGCCAACATGGTGAAACCTCATTTCTACTAAAAATACAAAAATTAGTCAGGCATGGTGGTGCGCACCTATAATCCCAGCTACCTGGGAGGCTGAGGCAGGAGAATCGCTCCAACCTGGAAGATGGAGATTGCAGTGAGCTGAGATCACGCCACTGCACTCCAGCCTGGGCAACAGTGAGACTCTGTCTCAAAAAAAAAAAAAAAAAAAAAAAATAGTGGGTGGAACATGGTTATGAATTAGAGTTAGATATAGCAGTATGAACTCATATTTAGCTTAACATAGGTAAGATGGATACCTGTAGAAATATTTACACATACATGCATGCACACAGATTTGTATACACACAGATATTTATTTATTTATTTATTTTTGAGGCAGAGTCTTGCTCTGTCGCCAGACACCAGCCAGGCTGGAGTGCAATGGCACAATCTCGGCTCACTGCAACCTCCACTTCCCTAGTTCAGGCAATTCTCCTGCCTCAGCCTCCCGAGTAGCTGGGACTACAGACATGCACCACCATGCCCAGCTAATTTTTGTATTTTTTAGTAGAGACAGTGTTTCACCATGTTGGCCAGGATTACAGGCATGAGCCACTGTGCCCGGCCTATTTTTATTTATTTGTTACAGGGGAAAGCGTGAACACAGTCCTTCACTACTACAAATTATGCAGTCGAGTTTCCCACATTTGGGGAAACTGCAGGGGTCAGCACATCCAGAGTGCAATGGATAAACCTGGGAAAACCACCTTCGTGACCATGCTATCTCCCCTGCCAGGTAAGTATTTATATATTTATTTAAAACAAATTCTTCTGATCCTCCCCATCCTCCCTACACACTTATATTTCACTGCTCTATCAGTTGAGAAGATCTGGAGGAAAAAATGCCCCGAGCACATCTAGCACCCAGATCTTGGATCTTTTCTTCAATAAAATGACTGGGGCTCCTTGGAGAAATGGCTGATTCTATAACTGGGGCTGGAAATATACAAGATGAGCCTGAAGCATCTTAGAGTGCCAGAAAGTATGGATGTACCAAAAAGAGATAGAGAGAGAAGAAAGGGAGGAGGGAAGGAAGGAGGGAAGGAGGGAAGGAGGGAGGGAGGGAGGGAGGGAGAGAAGGAAGGAAGGAAGGAAGGAAGGAAGGAAGGAGGGAAGGAGGGAGGGAAGGAGGGAAGGAGGGAAGGAGGGAGGGAGGGAGGGAGGGAGGGAGGGAGAGAAGGAAGGAAGGAAAGAAGGAAGGAAGGAAGGAAGGAAGGAAGGAAGGAAGGGAGGAAGGAAGGAAAAAGGGAAGTGAGGAAGGGAGGGAGTGAGGAAAAGAAAAAGAAAGAAAGAGAGATAGAGGGAAGGGGAAGTGAGGAAGGGAGGGAGAAAAAGAGAAAGAGAAAGAAAGAAAGAGAGAGAGAAAGAAAGAAAGAAAAAGAAAGAAAGAAAGAAAGAAAAGAAAAGAAGGAAGGAACAAACAAAGAGAAAGAGAGAGAGAAAGAGAGAAAGAAAAAGAGTGGAAGAGAGAGAGGGAGGGAGGGAGGGAGGGATGGGGGAAACACGCACAATGAGGAAGTATATCAAATGGATACAGGAAGTAACTGAAGTGTTCCTAATAGCCAAGGAAGAAAAATCATGAGCAACAAAATAAAGTCATACTGGATCATAACCCAAAGAAATTAAAACTTATAAAATAAATACCTGCAAGTCCGTACTGCTATATAAATAAATAAATAGGAGAGAGGAGTTAAACCTCCTAGGCAGAAAAAGTCTAAACAGTTCACATAGATCCTTTAGCCATGGAGAAGGAAGAGCCAGAATCCCCTCTCCTTAGAGGATGGTTACGCACAGTGACTTTCTTCTAGAGTCTACTATCAAAAGGGAGTTAAAAAAGAACAAAGAAGGAGGGAAGGAGGACAAACCTGTTAAGGTGGACAAACCTGACAAGCACTGCTGCAGCCAGGTGGTCAAAGTCACCATCAGGGACAGGTCATGCTGATGGTGCCTACCCTTGATTTGATAAAAGCAGAACTTCACCTCCGTGGTCTTCCTCCCTAATCTCAATCCAGCGATAAGAAGAAGAATCAGACAACCCTGATGGTGGTGCGTTCTACAAAATATCTGGCCAGTCAAACCTGGTCATCAAAACGCAGAACTGTCAAGGTCATCAAAAACCATGAGAGTCAGAGAAAAGCGACGTAGCCCATGAGGGCCTAAGGAGACATGATCGCTGAAGGTGATGTGGGATCCCAGATGGGATCCTGAAACAGAATAAGGACATTCGGTAAGAACTAAAATAATATTTGAACTTCTATAAATAATATGCATCAGTATTGGTCCACTAATTGTGGCAAACGTGCCATACTAATGCAAAGTGCTAGCAACAGGGAAAACTGGGATCGGGTATATGGGACTTTTTTGGACCATTTTCACAATTCTCTGTAAATCTAAAACTCTTCCGAAAATAGAGATTATTCTTTAAAAGTGTCTGGAGGATGTGCACAAGCGTATGGAAACAGAAGGGCTATAGGTAAAACATCCTGACACCTGGAAAATCTCCTTCCATTTTTGCTCCCTGCTGTGACTATCTTACACCGCTCCCATTAAACTCTGAACAATGTTACCAACCTAGAAACTGAATTGGCATACATGTGTAATGTCGAAGCTGGGAGGGACTATGGTGGCCATGCAGCCCGCTGCTTTCAACTGCACTTGAGGAAAATCGGATCCAAAGACCGGAAGCAAATGGCCAATGAATGTTTCAGTTCAGCTCCCAGGGGTAGAGCTAAAATCCTCAGAGCCCTGGAAGGGTGACAGACAGCAATGTCAGCCAGTCCTCAGAACAGCCCACTCTGCAGAGGGAACTGAGGCTCACTAGGGCCAAGAGCCTTCTTCCCAGCCACAGGGCTGGCAAGCCGAAAAGCAGAGAGCCAGGCTCAGGTCTCCTTTCCAACTTCACAGAAGCGTGACCTCCCTACCACCACTAACCCTCACGCCCTCAACCCCGTCCCATGGCCAGTCACTGTCCCATTTCCTCCCACAGCAGCAGGGGGCGGGGCTGAAGACTCAGATAAGACACAACTCAGGAAGGATGGCACTTAGATTGGCTTCTCTTTTTTTTTTTTCTTGATTCTGTCTTTATGAAACTTTTCTTTAACCCAACATTGTTTAAGGTCCTGAGCTGATTTCTTGTGAGCTTGAAGCCAGGGTACCCATGCTCTGCAAAAGCAAAAAGATGACCATATGAGTCCTTGAGGCTCAATGTTGTCATGCAGTGCATGGTCAGGCCAAGGTCCTAATTTCAAGGTTTTAGTTTTGGAGGGAAAAAAAAAAAATCCGCAGGATTCGGGATACCCTCTATTCCACAATGAGCATGCCCCCATTGCAACCAGTTCTGGGAGGGCGACAAAACTGAAAAGGAAGCAGTTCCAAACAGAAGGACACAAATTACCAGCAGAGCCATTATGACTCACAGCAACTCAGGCCGAGGGTTCATGCAGTGCAGGGTTTCTGAAACCCGGGCTCTACCTGGGAAGGAGGGAGAGAAAGAGTTTTGGATGCTGGGTAGGGGTTCTCTTATTTGCTTCCTTACAAATCTAGAAGAAAACCTGCAGGATCAGGAGCTTTTCCAAGCTCCTGAAATAAACCTGGATCCCAAGAGGAATAGAAAAGGGAAGGGTGAGGGCGGGAGAGGACTCGGAGGGCAAGCTCAGAGGTCCTTGAAGGAGGGAAGAAGAGGTGTCTGCTTTCGGGGAATGGCGATGAGAGGCATGTTGGGATGGAGATGCCCAAATGTGTAGCACTTACACCCATTTAGCAAATGGCCCTCTCATTAGTAAAAGCTTCTAAACATTAGCCTTAAGTTTAAAAAAAAATTTTTTTTGAAATTATGCAAAAGCCCAGAGCACCAGTATGTGCTTCACACACGTTCCGTGGGAAGATTCCTTCATTTGCAAACTTGTATATTACATAATCATCTCCATTTCCTCACAGGTTGTGAAGAGTAAATGAGATAATATAATGTAAAGTGCTTGGAACATCATGAATAAGACACCGGAGCTATTACTATTTTTACCGTGATTACTGGTAGATTACAAGTGGTCTCTTCATAGCCATCATGACTACTGCCAGTACTAACACGGCTATCACCACAAACACTGCTACTACTATAAGGATAGTACTTTCCTAGTGCTTAATAGTGTCTATCATCATTCTCAATGCTTAGCATATTTCAGGAGGAAAACTGATGAATGGACTGATATAACCCACAATTAAGGAAATGAACAAAGAAATGGATACATTCCTGTAACGTGGTGAGTGTATCTTAAAAGGAAAGAGGTCGAATAGGTTGCAAAGAGGAAACCAGGAGTCAAGAGCTGTCTGTAGTGCCAGGAGCGGGATGCTGTGAACCCAGGAGTGTTCAATAAGTACCTAACTGATGTCTGAGCGAGGAAGAAACAAAGAATGACAACAGTGAATTGGGCTCAGCTTAGACAAACCCTCAAAGTCAGGACACAGACAGAACAGGACAAGAGTGACACTTACAGTCACTTGATTCTGGATCCTTGTTTTAAAGATGGGGCTGTGAAGGGTCAAAGGGGTCAGCTGGGCTCAGTACTCAAAGGGCAGCTGTGGGCCAAGGCAATCGAACCAGCCTGGTGGGCAGAGCTGCACGCTACCCAGTAAATATGGGTGTTTGCATAGACTGTGTCTCTGCAGGGCGATGGTTAATTTTATGCGTCAACTTAACAGGGCCACAGGGTACCCAGAGGGCTGGCTAAACGGCATTTCTGAGTGTGTCCAGATGAGACTATCACTTGAACCAGGAGCCTGAGGGAGTAAAGGAGATGGTCCTCTCCAATGCAGAGTGGGCCTCATTCAGCCCACTGAGGGCCTGAATAAAACCTAAAGGCGCAGGAAGGTTGAATTTCATCTCTACCTGATCGCTTGTTCTGGGACATTAATCTTCTCCTGCCCTTGGCGTTCCTGGTTCTCAGGCCTTCAGATCCAGACTGGAATCTACACTCGGGGCTCTCCAGCCCTTTCCCTTCCTGCGACAACAGCAGCTGTCCTAGCTCTCCAGCAGGCAGGTGGCAAATCACAGGACCTCTCAGCTCCGCAACTGCATGAGTCAATACCTTATCATAAATAAATCTCCTAGATATAGACATAAACATCAAGGTAGATATGGATATAGACATAAATATGCGTCTATCTTCATCTCCTATTGGTCCCGTTTCTCTGGAAAACCCTGACTAATACACCAGTATATTTTGAAAACTTTAAAGGACAGAGATCTGTTTTGTCCACTCTGTTGGCTCCTGAGAGCCTATCTCAGCACCTGACTCATAGCAGGAAAGTGGACAAGGGCAGAGAGGACAGGAGGGAGTAGCCACCTCCTGCCAGTCACCATACAAGGTGCCAGGGAGGTGGGTTCAGTGAGACCCAGGGCTCTGCGCCCAGGGAAAGCTGAACAAACCATGTTCCCAGGTGAGATCCCCAAACACCGCTCCCTATCATCGGATCCCTTCCTACAAAAGGCACTCTAAAGAGAAAGATCCGCATCTTCAGAAGAAACAGAACTGAAAGAGGGGGCCGGGAGTGGGCAGAGAACAACGGTGATGGAGAAGGGGTGAGGAGCAGTGCGAGAGTGCGGGGGACGTGCTGGGAGAACAGGTGGACACGGGGCAGGTTTAAGGGATTCAGAAGACTCATGTTCTGACTTGAGAGCCACCATCCACAAGCAGGGGAGATCTCGAGCGATGCAATTGCTCCCAGCCTCAAGTCCCTTCATCTGTGAA